CGACCTCACATTGAACTTGCGTTCACGCAACATATGTCATATCGAAAAGCTTGCCAGTCGCATGGCCAGCACGCGAGACACGCTTTCCGCTTCTCGTTCGCCTGACTGCAGCTGTCGTCTGTGGTATGAACCTATTCCAGTCTCCCAGGGCACACATATAAGAGAGCTGTGAATGCTGCGCAGAGCTATGAGCTGCGAAGGACCCAACCAACCTTGTTCCCTCGTCTTTAGGAAGCTTCCAAAGGACTGAGGATGCGGGTAAAGTCTGCGCCGGCTGCTTCCAACTCGTTGCGTAACGAAAGGATGGCGGAGGCAAAGACAAAAAGGGGTATTTCGCTTATCGTGCTCAGCTACTCGACGCCATGCCACCCACAGAGCGTAGTTGCAACAAGCAGCCTGTACTTCCTATTGGGATGCCGAGCAACAATCGGGCAAGACCACCATCGACGGGGTTGCTTCCTTTCTTGCACCAAGCGAGAGTACGCTGTGGTGGTCCGAGCGGCGCAACGTTCCATGTATTGTCATAATATATAGAAATCTACCTTTTTTTGTCATTCTGAGATCACCGCCTGTCTTTCAGTCCGCTCTTGGTGCAGGAAAGGACGGTCGCCACAGTTCGTTCGTTCGGTGCTCATTTTCACATAAGCCAAGGACTCGATCAAGAGCATGACGACGGACAGCACGGGCAAGGTACGCGCCGCCCACCGCCTCCAGCCGCAGGCTCATGTGCTCGCTGCGTAGAAGAAGAAGATTGCGCTCGCTGTCGGTGGTGTCGTCGTCCTCGCCGTCGCAGCGACCGTGATTGCGGTTGTTGCCACCAAGAAGAGCTCGGATAGCTCCAGCACCTCGAGCGACAAGGCGGTGACGCCGGCGCCGACGGCCTACAACAGCAGCGCCCCGGACAACTCGACCATCGACACCGCTCTCTTGCCCAAGAACACGACCGTCGACCCGCTCACGCTCAACCCGACGTCGGACCCGGAGAAGATGACACCGGCGCTGACGATGCAGGCGGTTGGCGATTGGGGCAGCTCGCCTGGCAAGGTCAGCGGCTCGGACGACAACCCGGGCAGTTGCTGCATCGTGTACGGCAAGAAGACCAACCCGTCGACAGCGCGCTACAAGGTCGACTTTTGGGCGCAGGCGTATGTCGCCTCGCTCCAGATGCAGTCGGCGACGCAGCTCAAGCCCATCCGCGTCATTGGCCACGGCGACAACTTTTACTGGGACGGTCTCGGCGGTACCGACAAGGCGTCGCGCTTTGCCAACACGTTTGAAGCCATGTACACGGGCGACCTCAAGGGCGTCAAGTGGGTCAACGTCCTCGGCAACCACGACATTGGTGGCGCCAACTACCTCTGTGGCGCGGCCACAGCGCAGTACACCAAGTGCAGCAGCGCCGACGAGCTTCTCACCAACCTCCGCGCCCGCGCCAAGTACCAAATGGAGTACACGTCACCGGACAACAACCGGTGGCTGCTCAAGGACTTCTACTACGTCGAGTCGGCGAGCGCCGGCGGCGTGACCGTCGACATCTTCAACATTGACACCAACTACGCCGACAACCATGGTGGCATGCAGATCTGCTGCCAGTGCTTCGGCTACGGCGGCGATATTTCCGGTTTCAGTACCAGCCACTGCGACACGGCGCAGCCCGGCCAGCCGCAGTGCGCGGGCGGTGACACAGCCCTCTACAACGCGTGCATCAACGAGATTAACGGGTGGGCGGCCGACAGCATCAAGCAGGCGACGCGGGACATTGCTGCGTCCAAGGCCAACTTCAAGATCATCAACACGCACTACTCGCCGCAACACCACATGAGCCCAGACAAGCAGAAGGCGCTGTTTACGCTCACAAAGGACACCAACGTCCAGCTCTGGATGAACGGCCACACGCACGCCTTCTCGCATGACACGGCGTCGTGGGGCACTCACTTCATCGAGAACGGCGGCGGTGGTGGCATCTACACGCAGTCGGCCAACGCCATGACCAACGCGTACGTCAAGAACGTCTGGGCGGCCGGCGGCAACCCGTACGGGTTCTTTGAGCTCAGCTTCTCGAAGGACTGGCTCAAGGCGCAGTGGGTCACGTTCGATAAGAGCTGGGTCTTTGCTGGCAACAGCCTCGAAGGCACCAAGAAGGGTGGCCTTGCGCGCGGTCACTGCTGGTTCATCCCGAGCGCCGCGTACACGGCCAAGGGTGCGCCTGGCATCGAGTGCAAGAGCTCGATCAACAGCTTCCTCGGCGCCCCCGAGTCATCGAATTCGATCTTTTAAGACCAAGTGCAATGTGATCTGATATCTCAATGACGTTGCGACCTCGGTTGCGTTGAGGAACATGCAGACTCGGCTGCTTGGGCCATTGCAGTGTTGCTCTGTCGATTCGCTTCCTGCAGTGTAAGACTACCGACGATGGTACGAGCTGCTGGCTTATAGGCTGCGACTCGAAGGACATCCAACAGTCGTCCGTGCGTTGGTGTGTTGGCTGCTCGGTGCAGTGGCTGAAGCGCACATTCTTTGTCGGGCTTGTCAGGACGCTGCGCCAGGTCACTCGGCAGGTATTCCACCCAGAGCCCTTATGGACAACATAATGCCATTGTGAATGCAATCAGATCTTAGTTCTGGTACGACCATAAACTTTACGGCCTTGGCTCTGGTGTCATTCTTCGTGGTCTCACGCTCGCAAGGTGATGTCGAAGTGGTTTGCACGGGATTGCTGGATGCGCTGCGATTGGCTAATTTATGGCACATCCGCTTCGAAATCTCGCTTGGAGCGCTCGGATTCGTTCTTTCTCAGCCAATCCACGCTGTAGAAATCCCTTCGATTTTTCGCTCGCTTGCCCCAATATCACAACCGCAATGACCGACCTCGTCACGACCGCCTCCGTGGGCATCGCGCTGGCTGCGCTCGCGATCGCGTACCTCTACCACCGGTACGGCCGCAACGAGCCCTTCGTGCCGGGTCTTGCCTTCCCGCACGAGCTCCACGCGCCGTTCATTGGTGTTGCCAAGCACATGGGCAAGCTCGAGGCGAGTGCCCGCGTCTTCGTCGACGCAGCCGACGCCAATGGCATGGTCTCGTTCAAGCTCATGAGCATGCACGTGATCGCGGTCACCAAGGCCGAGCACGTCCGCGCCGTCGTGTGCTCGTCCAGCTACCGCAAGCCCATGCCGCTCATCCAAAAGCACATTCGCGAGCTCCTCGGGTACAACTCGTTGCCAGTGCTCATGCACGACGAGTGGAAAGTACATCGGCGCGTCTTTGCGAGGGCGTTCCACTGGGAATACCTCGCCGCGATGGTTCCGGCCATGGCTACGGTCGCGGCCGAGGCTGCGAGCGTACTATTGGCCGCGTCCACCACGGACGTCTACCGCGTGCTACAGCTCTCGGCGCTCGACACGATCGCGCTCACCGGCTTCGGCTTCAACGTCCACGCGCTCCGCGACAGCTCGCACCCGATCGCCGAGGCGTTCGAGTTTCTGCTCAGTGAGACAACGCGGCGTTGCTTTGAGGCGCCGCTGCGGCCGACGAGTTACTTTTACTCGATTCCGACGCCCGCGAATCTCCGATACCGCCGCGAAGTCGGCGTTGTCCGCGCCAAGCTCGGTGACATCATCGCAGCGCGCCTGGCCTCGCCAACCAAAGGTCACCCCGACTTGCTCCAGGCGCTATTGGACGCCGCGGCTGCTGAGGACGACCCCATGTCCCCGGACGCACTCGCCGACAATGTGCTTGCCTTCTTCTTTGGCGGCTACGACACGACGAGCACCGGCATGGCGTACACGCTGTACCTGCTGGCGACGCACCCGGAGGTCCAAGCCAAAGCGGTCGCCGAGATCGATACCGTGGTCGGCATGTCGGGCGCCATCACGTACGAAGTGTTGCAGTTGCTGCCGTATCTGAATGCGGTGCTGACCGAGTCGCTGCGGCTCTTCCCGCCAACGCCAGTCACGAGCCGCCACCTCGAGACCGACCTTGTTCTGAGCGGGTACACCATACCGGCGGGCACCATGGCGTACCTTCCGATCTGGTACATCAACCGCTCGACGCTCAACTGGGGCAACGACGCGCTCGACTTCAAGCCCGAGCGACACCTCACCGACCACATGGAGGGCGACGTGGGCGCGAAAGACCGAGCATACCGGTTCATGAGCTTCTCGGGCGGTCCGCGCAACTGCGTCGGCATGCGCTTTGCCGTCCTCGAAGCCACTTGCATGCTCATCGCTGTCCTTCAGACCTGCGTGCTCGCCCGTGCGGAAGGCTCCCCGCCGCTGCAACCCAAGGCGCGTGGGATCGTGCAAAAGCCCGAGCTTGGCGTCTGGCTGCAGCTGTCGCCTCGCTTGCGCCCGCCGCCCGCATAGCCATGCTTACCAGAGCCATCGCAATTAACTCTAGTTGTACAAGTACCTTTTGTATATTCGCTGAAATATACAGAATGTCATTTTGTTAACTTTGTCGATGATCTCAGCGTACTCGAGTGTATCAGAGGGTTAGTCAAAAAGGAATGGCTAGTTGGGTCCGCACCACGTATAGTACATGTTGGCCAGACAATCTTGCTTTGTCCAGTTGTCCCAGCACTGGTTGTTGTGGGGCGCGTAGAAGCAGTTGTTGCACGACCCGCAACCGGCGGGCTTCCCAGCTGGCACCATCGTAGGCACATCGTACTCGCAGCCTGCACGCTGGATATCGCCGAGACTCGGGGCTGCAGCGACGGTCACGAGAGCGAGCACGGTGCGCTTCATGGTGACACGGGTGCGTTGGGCGTGGCGCGTTGTCGTGTGGTGTACACTGCACCAAGTGCAAGCTGGCAGGCGAGCAGATTCGAATATCGTCTTCGGATTCGAAGGACAGAAGACTAGAAGACTAGAACACCAGACCTAGTATTCCAGCACTCGGCTCCAAAGTTCCACCGGCATCTCTCGCACTTGTCTTCGTCTGCCACCGTTTTGCTTTGTATCAACGTATCAGTGTATCAACATGCATTGTGTTTATAGTATAGTACCGCGCAAAACTGATTGCTGTCTTAGCCGAGGGGCGCCCCGAGCGGCGTGTTGATCGAGCTCTTGCACTCGATGCCGGGCGCGCCCTTGGCCGTGTACTCGGCGCTCGGGATGTACCAGCAGTGACCGCGCGCAATGCCGCCCTTCTTGGTGCCTTCGAGGCTGTTGCCAGCAAAGCTCCAGCTCTTATCGAACGTAACAAACTGCGTCTTGAGCCAGTCCTTGGAGAAGCTGAGCTCGAAAAAGCCGTACGGGTTGCCGCCCGCGACCCAGACGTTCTTGACATAGTCGTTCGAGAGCGCGTTACCCGACTTGGTGTAGATGCCACCGCCGCCGCCGTTCTCAATGAAATGCGTGCCCCACGCCGTCGTGTCGTGCGAGAAGGCGTGCGTGTGGCCGTTCATGAAGAGCTGCACGTTGTTCTCCTTGGCGATGTGGAAAATGACCTTTTGCTTGTCCGGGCTCATGTGGTGCTGCGGCGAGTAGTGCGTGTTGATGATCTTGAAGTTGGCCTTGGACGCCTTCAGGTCGCGGTCGAGCTGCTTGAGCGAGTCTTTGCCCCAGCCGTTGATCGTGTCCATGCACGCGTTGTACATCCCGACGTCGCCACCAGCGCACTCGGGCTGGCCCGGCTGCGCATCTTCGCACTTGGAGTTGGCAAAGTTGGGGATCTCGGCGCCATAGCCAAAGCACTGACAGCACACTTGCATCGCGCCATGGTTGTCGGCGTAGTTGGTGTCGATGTTGAAGATATCGACGGTCACGCCGCCAGCGGTCGCCGACTCGACGTAGTAGAAGTCCTTGAGCAACCACCGGTCGTTGTCGGGCGACTTGTACTCCATCTGGTACTGCGCACGGAGCTTGAGGTTCTTGACGAGCTCGTCGCCGCTCTTGCACTTGAGAAACTCGGCCGTCTCGGCGCCGCAGAGGTACGCGGCGCCACCAATGTCGTGGTTACCGAGCACGTTGACCCACTTGATGCCCTTGAGCGCCGGGTCGTTGTAGACACCTTCGAACGTGTTGGCAAAGCGCGACGCCTTGTCGGTACCGCCGAGACCGTCCCAGTAGAAGTTGTCGCCGTGGCCAATGACGCGGATGGGCTTGAGGTCCTTGGCCGACATGGCCATCATGGCAGCGACGTGGTTCTGCGACCAAAAGTCGACCTTGTACCGGTTTTCGCTCGGGTTGGTCTTCTTGCCGTATACGATGCAGCAACTGCCCGGGTTGTCGTCCGAGCCGCTGACCTTGCCGGGCGAGCTGCCCCAGTCGCCAATCGCAAGCATCGTCAGCGCCGGCGTCATCGTCTCGGGGTCGGTCGTCGGGTTGAACTTCTTCATATCGACCGTCTCGTTCTTGGGCATGACCAAGGACGTGTCGATGGACGTATCGCCTGTCGTCGGGACCGGCGTCGTCATGGGCGTCGCCTTGTCACCGCCCGTCGACGTCGACGCGTCGCTCTTCTTTGTGGCGACAACTGCAATCACGGTCGCAGCGACGGCAAGGACAACGACACCGCCGACCGCCATCATAATCTTCTTCTTCTACACAGCGCATGAGCAACATGTAAAAGCAAAGATAGACGCCTACCCGGCCAGCCGACGAGACGGGCTTGCTGCTGTCGAGCACCGCCGTGGGCTCCTGGAGGTAGTCGTCCGGTGACATGGTCATGAGCAAGTGTAGGTCGACCGCGGCGTCGGGTCGAAATGGAAGAATGAAGAGGCTTTGGCCGGTGGCGTCCACGAATGAGCCTGCTGCCACCTCTCCCAGCGTAATGTGCAGGTCGTCAAGATCGTCATGACTTCAAGTTTGTATACGCGCCGGTCTGGCCTTTCTGCAAATTACCAAGTATGTCTCATTTGGCTTCAAAGTCTCAGGTCTGTCTCGATCTTCCACTTTGCCGTTTCCGTGTCGCGGTCGCCACACCGCGACGCGGACGCCATCGACAGTGGGACATCTCGAGGTTGGGTCCATGTCTCCACTTCGATGCGCGCCCTGGAGCTCGCACACCAAGGCGACCAAGAACGTCGCTGGGAAGGTCCTGGGAACTACACTGGCGCTGGCTTTCGACGTGCGCTGAGTGTAACAGCGTGAGTATCGCAGTCGACCGCGACGCTCCGGTGATGAAAAGATCGGACGCGCCTGTCGCAAGACCAAGCGTGCGCTGCCGATAACGTCGTCTTCGATCTTAGAAGCTTAGAGCTTGAAGCTTAGGTGAGTGGGGCGCCAATTGCGCCGTTGACCGAGGACTTGCATTCAACGCCGACTGCACCGAGCGCTGCCGCCTTGGCGTGGGGCACGAACCAGCAGTGGCCGCGCCGGACGCCGCCTTGGGTCGTGCTCTCGAGCGCGTTGCCGCCAAACTGCCACGCTTGGTCGAAAGTGGCAAACTGGACTTTGAGCCAGTCGGCCGAGAAACTGAGCTCCATAAAGCCGTACGGAAACCCGCCGGCCATCCATTGACTACGAGTGGACAGAAGAAGGGTCAGACAACATTCAGGAATGCATGAGGATGGGATTGGCGTACCTCTTGACGTAGTCAGTCGTCGCGCCGTTGGCCGACTTGGTATAGATGCCGCCGCCGCCGCCGTTCTCGAAAAAGTGGGTGCCCCAATTCGCAATGTCGTGGTTGAAGCCGTGCGTGTGGCCGTTGAACCATGCATTGACGCCGTAGTCCTTGCAGAGCTTGTACCACGCCTTCATCTTGGGTTCGCCCATGTGGTAGTGCGGCGAATAATGCGTGTTGATGATCTTGAAGGTAGCGGTCGACGCCTTGAGGTCCCGCGCCGCCTGCGTGTACGAGTCCTGCGCCCACGACTCGATCTTGTCCATACACGCCTTGTACATGTCGGCGTTGCCGCCCGCGCAGCGCGCGTCGCCCGGCAGCACGCTGTCGCACGTCTTGCTCGGCAGCTTGAGCTTGCCCGAATAGCCAAAGCACTGACAGCACACTTGGCGGGCGCCGTGGCTGTCGGCGTGGTTGGTGTCGATGTTGAAGATGTCGACTGAGACACCATCCTTCTCAAACGACTCGACATAGTAGTGGTCCTTGAGCACCCACCTAGTTCATACTAGTCCATGAGATATTCCGAGAGTGCGAAGACGAAGATAGTACCGCTGCTGGTCGGGGCTCACATATTTTTGCTGCAGCGAGAAGCGTTCGTCGAGCGCTGCGAGCAGCTCGGCCGTGCTCGTGCACTCGCGAAACTCATTGTCCTTGTCGCCGCACACGAAGCTCGAGCCGCCAATGTCGTGGTTGCCGGCAACGTTGAGCCACTTGATACCGGCGAGCGACGGCTGGTTGTAGACGTTCTCAAAGGTTTCGGTGAACCGGTACGTCACGTCTTTCGAGCCGACGCCGTTCCAGTACATGTTGTCCCCATGCCCGAGGATCCGAACGGGCTTGAGCTCACTCGCCGACTTGCCGAGGAGCATGGCCACGTGCTTCTGGGACCAAAAGTCGACTTTGAACCGGTCTTCGTTTGGGTTGACGCGGTCGCTGTACAAGATGCAGCAGCTACCAGCGTTCTCGTTCGAGCCGGTGACCTTGCCCGTCGTGCTACCCCAGTCGCCAATCGCAAGCATCGAGAAGGCCATCGTTGCCTTCTCCGGGTCGCTCTTGGGATTGACGTCCACGGTGGTCGGTTTGGGCGTCTTGCGCAAGTCCTCGCCGTTGACGCTCGGCAAGGTCGTGTCGTTCGCCGCTCCTCCACCAATCGCAGCGTCCGAGGCCGTTGCCGGTGGCGCCGACGACGGCGATTTCGAGTAGAGCACGGCAAAGGTCGTCGCAATCGCACCACCGACTACGACGAGGCCGAGGACACTAAAGACGAGCCACTTCCGCTTCCGCTACGATGTCGACTTCAGGTGGTTATTAGCGCGGGGGGCGTACCTGCGGCTGCGGCGACGTCGGCGTATCGAGCACCGCAATGTGGTCGTCCGCAGCGTGGTCCCCGAGATACGAAGGCGACGGCATTGTGTGCGCACCGACGACTGCGTTCAAAAATGACCGCGAACAGCCGCCGCAAAACGCCCAATATTCTCTCAAATTATAGTGTTTCACGCATGGATATGGATACACGAAATTATGCTGGCGACTGACTAATCACATGTACACGGCGGTCGATCTTTCATGTCCGCAGATTCTCGGTCCGATGGGTGCCAACCTGTTCACACGCTAGCTCCGCCGCCATTGCGGTCGCTCTACACTTCTGTACCGATGGCACCGGCATGGCTTCGACATTTGTGCCAACACCGACGGCACCGAACCCCGACCCCTGACCCGGGCTCACGACGATCACCTCCACTGGCAAGATCAGTCATCTCGCCAAAGACCTTCCAGTAGCTGTCACCGCCCGTGCCATCGCAGGCAAGTCGCAGGTCACATCAGATTTGGTCATGGTCTTGGTCGCCGACGTGATACATCAAGAACGACTTGGACACGCTCGTCTGCGGAACCCTGAGGACCCAGCTGTTGCCTCATGAGCTGTTGCCACCTTTGCAGTACAGTAGCTCGCATTGCTTTCGTTATCCTCTCAGCAACTCTTAGTCTTTTCTCAGCTCTGAAATGCTGAGAGTTGCGTTCTCTAGCCACATCCTGGGCCAACCAGCTCCTGGTGGCTGCTCCGTCCAGTTGTCTCGACGGCTTGTGCCGCCCTTGAGCTCCGCCATTGGGGTTTGTAGTCATTGTCGAACAGCTCGACAATGGCCACGAAAGAGAAGTGAACGACATCACATTGAGATATGTTAAAGGACATGCAATTGAAAAGACTATTCGACTACTTGTGGATCAACTGGAGGTGGTGGTAGCCTTGACGGCGCATGAAAGCTTGGGCCGACGCGATCGAGAGCGCAATGCACAAGAGCAATAGCACCCACCCCAGAATCACATTGGTCCACGAGTTGACCGCCAGCAGCGCAGTGTCATCTGCGAGCTGCAGCGTCGTGCGGTCGACCAAGTCGGCGTCGAATGGAATTTGATGCACAACTGACGGCGACGCCATGTTTTTCAAATAGAGCGTCTTGGCGTCGTGATCGCGCACGAGAAGACTTTGCGCCGACGCTTGGATCGTGTACGTCGCGTCAAAGCGGGCGATGGCGCCGGCGACTGCCGAGGGGACACCGGTCGCCGCACTCGCATCGGCTGCTCCCACGCGCACGAGCCGCGTGGCATCGTGTTGGCGGAGCGACTGCGTCGTCTTGGCGTCGCCGACAGCTTGTACGACGCGGGGCGCGTCGAGCACGTGGTTGGTCGCGTTCAGAATAAGGCTGTGGCCTTTGCCATCATGGACCGTGAGGCGCCACGCATGCTGCGCCATGGGCCGGAGGCGGACATGGGCGAGGCCAGCCTGCACGTCGTCGAGCGAGCCAAAGTTGCTCAACACAAACGGCACGAGCGCGGTAATGACGGGACGACCGTCGGCGCCACCGGGCACCGGGATCGATGTGCCCCAGTCAAGAAGAGCCGCAGAGAGGCCTGCTTCGTTGATGCCGTCGAGGATCGTGTTGTGTGCGTGCAGCGCAACGTAGCCGTACTGCGACGTCCACGCAAAGGTCGCGTCGCGAAGCCGCTCGCCGCGGGGTACAATTTCGATCGTTGTGCTCTCGAGATCGATGGGGAAAGTCCGCGCCGAAACGAGGCTTGACGACTGCACGACGACGTCGATGGACGCATGGGAGAGCGATACTACGAGGGCGAAGACGGCGAGGCGCATCGTCGTCGGCAGGAGAGCTCGGCAGGAATGACCAAAGATACGACCTTGCACTTTCCAGCCCGATCAGAAGAAACGCAGCATCGGTGCTCGGTGATTGGCCGAGAGTATCGGCCTATCGTCGGACGCAGCCGCCCAGGCCCGGTGGCGCCGTTTGTTCACTTGAGTCGAAAGGTCTTCGTACCGGCAGTAGGGACGCTCGCACTGCTACGGCTTGATGCACCAATGCGACTGCTGCCTGCGCTGCCAAAGGAAGAGGGTGCAAAAATGGAAGCGCCTATCAATGCGTCGAACCACCCAAGTGCAAGGTCAGGCCATATCCTAATTAGGGCGATTGCTTTCGGTCATCATGCTTCCTCCTAAATAGGATATATTTAGGAGGATGACGCAAAGTATGATGACCGATTTAGAAATCGGTTCAGTCCTACCGGAAGGCGAGACCGGGAAAAGGAAGCCAGGCATTCTTTTGTATGGGCACTCGTTGCAGGGACAACGTGTACACGCTGCGACTACTCCTACTAGTAATATAGTGGACTAGTGGACTAGGCGATAAAGAACTCATATTACTTGATTTTGTTGGGAATTATCGGGCGGGGGCGCCGATGGCGCCGTTGATGGAGCTCTTGCACTCGACACCCTGGGAGCCGGGGGCAATGAACTGACCACTCGGAATGAACCAGCAGTGCCCACGCGCGACGCCACCCTTGACGGTCGCCGTGAGGTCGTTGCCGGCAAAGACCCAGCTTTTGTCGAACGTCGCAAACTGCACCTTGAGCCACTCCTTGGAGAAGCTGAGCTCCATAAAGCCGTACGGGTTGCCGCCGGCCGTCCAAACACTACAAGATATGAGCACACGAAGCGGACATCGCAGCACGTACTTCTTGACGATTGCGTCCGAGCCCGAGTTGGACGCCTTCGTGACGATACCGCCGCCACCGCCGTTCTCGACGAGGTGCGTACCAAAGGTGCTGATGCCGTGGTCAAAGCCGTGCGTGTGGCCGTTGATCCAGAGACTGGCGTTGCCGGCCTTGAGCACATCGTACCTAGTTTAACAAATGAGATTCCATAAAAATGGAAAATATTGTCGGTGGTACCATTTCTGGGCGCGCTGGGGGTTCATGTGGTACTGCGGGCTAAAGTGGGTGTTGACAACCTTGAACGTCGCTTTGGACGCCTTCATGTCCTTGAGCGCTTGCGTGAGCGAGTCTTGGGCCCAGCCTTCGAGCGTCTCCATGCACGTGTTGTACATCTCGGCGCTGCCACCGGCACACATTTTGCTGCCGACTTTGACGTCGTCGCACTTGGTGCTGTCATAGTCGTACTTGTACGAGTACCCAAAGCACTGGCAGCACACTTGGGACGCGCCGTGGTTGTCGGCGTGGTTGGTGTCGACGTTGAAAATGTCGACCGAGACACCGTTCTTGGAGACCGAGTGCACGAAATAGTGGTCCTTGAGAAGCCACCTGATCATACACATACGATGGTCAATATTGTCCTCAAAATATTGATGCAAAGACATTGTCGTACCGGTTGTTGTTGGGGCTCACATAGTTTTTTTGCAAATCAAAGCGCTCCTTGAGGTACTTGGACATCATGGCCGTGTCTTCGCACTCGAAAAAGTTGTCGTCCTTGTCCCAGCCGTCGCCGCAGATAAAGTGGGCGCCGCCAATGTCGTGGTTGCCGACGACGTTGACCCACGGCACGGCCATGAGCGCCGGGTCGTTGTACGTGTCTTCAAACGTGTCTTGGAAGCGGTACTTGTAGTTGTTCTTCGCAATCCCGTTCCAGTAAAAGTTATCGCCGTGGCTCAGGACCGCGAGCGGCTTGAGCTCCTTCGCCGACATGCCCATGAGCGCGGCCACGTGCTTCTGCGCCCAAAAGTCGACCTTGAAGCGTGCAGTCTCGGGCTGGATCTTGTTCTTGTACCAGATGCAGCAACTGCCAGCGTTCTCGTTGGAGCCGCTGACTTTGAGGGCGGAGCCGCCCCAATCGCCGATCGCGAGCAGCGTCAGTGCCACGGGCGCGGTCTCCGGGTCCGTCGTCGGCTTGAGCGCGAGCTTCCCGGTCGAAGGGTCAACGACCGGCTTGTCGGGCGTCGAGGTGCCGCCACCGCCGCCATTAGCGTTGGCGCCACCGCCGTTTGTGGTGCTACCGCTGGTCTTGTTGCCGCTGTCGTTGGCCGACGTCGACGACTCGGTCGTGCCGTTCTTCATGAGCACCATGGTCGTGACCGCGATGGCGCCGAGGACAACAAAGACACCCATCGCGCCAAAGATAACGAGGCGGCGCCGCTACATAGGCGTCGCATGAGCCGTCATTCATTGACCATGGCGGCGTACCCGGGCCGTGTGCGCCTCCTTTTGCGATGGCAGCTCGTCGAGCACGGCGATGCTGTCTTCGTAGCTCATCCGATGCAAGTTGTAGTCTGAACGTCGGCTTGGCATGGCGATCGTCGCTGGCGTGCTCAGAGGATGGAGATGGAGAAGGCTGCGATATGACGAGGTACGGCTCTCGTCTGGCTTATGACGTCGGCGGCGCAGAAACACTTGTCCACAGGCAAGCCAGCGTCGTCGTAACGACCATGTGTCACATCCGACAAAGGGCAATCTCGCACCTGGATACATTCAGTTCGGTGCTGTATATTCGATATTAGGGGCGGATAGTCGGATAATCGGTGCGCTTTTGCCGGACAGGCCAGCCCAGATGCTCACTGTCCTCTAGGGTGTAGCGACGCTTTCGCCGGCGTCAAGATCATTCAACCATGGTGATGGTCTGCGTGCTTAGTGGAGCACTTGAGGCGCGAGGCTCACAGGACGACCATTGCTAGCACAATACGCTCGTAGCGCTCGCTTCTTGCTGCTTTTGTTAGTCGATTGTTTATATACTGGGAAGAGATACGGTGCAATCTGATGGCACCCAACGGCGTGACGACAACAACCTTGTCATGGGAGAGCTGCGAGCGCAGGTGAAGCAAGAAGCCGAGGGAAGCCAAGCGACCAGCGATATATACTATACTGGGCTTTTAGAAGTAAGGTCTTGGTGCTTGGAAATATCACGTACGCGGGATTGCACATGCCAACAAAATTTGATGTCATTACGTTAGCAGTCGCGGCCGCCTTGGTAACGTACGCAGTCACGCGCCTTGCCCCGAGCTCTTGCCCCGGCCTTGCCACTTGAGTGGTGTGGGTACGCCGGCGCAACAACACTACGCAGCTGATGTTTCCACGACAAAAGCAGCCAACGGAAGCCCGTGCGCGGCTATGTATACCGGGTGCAACGTGCGCCGTTCAAGGTCACTCTGCACGCATCTCGAAGCGCCCGAAGCATCATTGCGCCAGCGTTCTTGGCTGCGGTTCCCAACCTATCTATCCTTCCTGATGGATGGAGGTTCTGATGGGTGGCTTGGTCTGGAATCAAGCAGCTCACGTCTCCGCAAAAGCATCGGGTTCTTGGCATTGGGAGCGTCGACTGGTCACGAGCGAATCATGGGCGTCGTTGGCGCTTCTCGGTCCACTCGTCCAGTCCACCTGCGAATCGTATTGGTGCATGATCGAGTGCTTTCTGCCATAAACTCCTTTGGGTCGGATAGGACCTGTGCCAGAGAGCACTTGCATGGCGTCCGACGGCTGTCGGTAGTCATACCACCATGGTGCACGAGCAAACAGAGCCTGGCCATGGCCTTCCCTCTTGGCCAAGTACGATTCCAGTCATCATTGACAACCCGGGCTTGCCATCCTGTACGCGCCTGCACGCGGCTGAGACTCTTGCTTATATCACTACGACGACGCGCAAGGGAATTTGTTGCAAGTTCCCTTGACCACGTGCAAACTCGGAGCCGACTCGTTGCCAGGCGTGTCGTTGCCGCAGGCCTCGCGGTTCGAGGCAAGATGGTCCTCGGCGTCGGTTGCGAGACAAGTTGTACATCCGGTGGTGGCTGTATCGCGTCCATTCCACCAGTGGAAATGCACAGATTTGTCTATAGTAGGCTTATTGGCACATCGCCACGAACGTGTGGTGAGGAGGAGGCGGAGGGGGATGCGTCTGCGCGCGGCAAAGTGCTGGGTGATAGGCCTCCGTGAAGGTGCTCAAGGTGCAGCTCCTCGCACTGACAGCACACATTTCAGTTAGCTATCTCGGTTCCATAGCTCTTTCTCTTATCGTAGTGCTATATATTAGTTTGCAATTGCTAGGACGTACTATTATTTGCAAGGTGTTGGAGAATATTGCAGTTGAGACCTCTTGCCCTCAAGGGAAAGATCCTAATTAGGCCTCGACGTTTCTAGGATACCACTTGGATCCCACCGTGGGTTGGTTGTCATATTGAAGTATGTAATAAGCCAATATATTCTATTTGACAGGTCTTTTATAGGCTATATAATACGAAATCTGAATTCAAATCTTGCAATGTGGAAGGGTATTCATTATGAAGGGTTTGCACCAGACCTGGCGCCGCTGGCGTCGCCTTCGCACATCGCAAAAGCGCTCTTGGCCGCGACAATGGCTTCCGTGCAGGTGCGCGCCTCCTCGTCTCCTAGTTCTAGAAGGCGTATGCATAGACTCCGACAAGACAGACGCCCGAGAACCTCGAATCCGCCGGCTTGCTCAGTGGCACAACCGCGGTACGCCACACGAGCTCCACGAAGCACGCGTCACAATCGTGCGTAGACCACCAAGCGGCGCAACCTCGTGTTTGGCGCACTCGGTGGCGTCGCCCTCGTCGCCATTGCCGTCACGGCGGCGTCGATCTTTGTCAACGGCGAGAACGCGAGTACGGCGGATGCGTCGGTCGCGTCGGGCGGCAACGCCACGTCGACGTCAACGGCGGCGCCGGCGAGTGGTGTCACGGCGTCGGTGACGTCGACGAGCAACGGCATCCCGATGCCGGACCCGGAGACGCAGTCGCCGGCGGTGACGATGCTCGCGATTGGCGACTGGGGCAGCACGACGGGCAAGGCCAACGGCAACCCCGGCTCGTGCTGCGTGTTGTACAACGGCGCGGTTGACACGCGCAACCCGCGCTACAAGGTCGACTACTACGCGCAGCAGTACGTGTCAACGCTCCTCGCGCAGTCGGCCACCGAGCTCCAGCCCGTGCGCATCATCGGGCACGGCGACAACATGTACTGGGACGGAGTTGGCACCAAAGATGTCGGGTATCGATTCCAGACGACGTTTGAAGATAAGTACAACCAGCCGTCGCTCGCCAACATCAAGTGGATCAACGTCGTTGGCAACCACGACATTGGCGGCTCGGGCTT